GGCCGGCCGCCCGCACGTGCTGGAGGCCAGCACCTCGCGGCCCAAGGCCGCGTTCACCAGGCCCGGCACGCAGCCGCGGGGCGCGCCCCCGTCGTCATGGCAGGGGTCGGCGGGCGCCGGCGGCCCCGGGCTCAGCGCGGCCGAGAGCGTGCCCGCGGTCAGCAGCAGCCCCCAGGGCCAGCCCGGCATGACCGGAGCCGCCGGGGGTCAGCCGGCCGGCCGGGGCCCCACGTCGCTGCCCTCGGGAGACAGAGAGCCCGGTCCGAGGCTCTGCCCGCAGGCCCGGGGTGCCGAGCCACCAGAGCCCCCGGGCGGCCCCAATCGGGGCCCAGAGGTGGGCGCCGCTGCGGGCACGCTCCGGGCCGAGCGGAGTAGCGGGGACGCCCGCGCGTCCTCCCGCGGGGCCTGGAGCGTTGACAGGAGTCGCCCCCGCCCTCGGCGCCTCTGCCCGCAGAGGCCCCACCCGCCGCCCGCCGCTCCCACTCACCCACCGAGGGCCGGGTCGAGCAGGTCTCCCGGCCTCCCGGGACGGGCCGAGGGCGGGCGGGGCCTGGGGCGCCCAGGCTGCCGCCTCCTCCCGGCTGCAGCGAGGGCGGGCGAGCTGTGCCAAGAGGGGGTGGGGGGCGCAGCGGGCTCCAGCCTGGGCCCAGCCGGGGGCGGGGCTGCTCGGCCGGGAAGGAGGGAGGGGAGAGGAGGGGGCCGCGTCGGCAGAGCCGGAATCAGAAGCAGATTCAGACGCTGGCCGGGCCAGCGGGGGAGGGGGCTGGGAGGCCCTGGAGCCGGGGGAGGGGCCGCGGAGCCAGGAATGTGCTAGCGGGAGGGGGCTGGAGCGGGTGGCCCCGCCACGCAGCCCGTGGGGGACCACCCAGCCGGCCCCCGGCCCGAAGCCAGGCTCTGATTGCTCCTGGGGTTGTGCCACGTGCTGGGCGGGGGTCCGGCGCTTCCTCCCTCGGGCACCTGGGGCACGCAGGGCCCTGGAGCTGAAGACTGGGTCCGGGATGCTTGCCTGGGTCCCTACAGGGCACACTTGGGGCCAAGGGAGCCAGGCTGGGCTGGTAGTTGTGGGGTGTCCCCAAAGCAGCAGTCTGCTCCAGCAGAAAGAATTCAGGATTGGGGCCAGGTCTGATTTCGAATCCACACTGCTCCAGTTTCTAGTTGTGTGGTTTCCAGTCCTCAACCTGCCCAAGCCTCAATTTCCTCATCAGCCAGATGCCTATTATTTCCCCTTTGCTGTTGGGATTTCCTGAGCCTCATAGGACCTCAACAGACCTGAGTCAGGGCAAAGCGACCCAGGAAGGGGCAGCCCCCCGCGGAGGGGGCAGGAACACTGGAATATGTCTGCTGGGGAGCATCTCTGAGGCCTGAAGTTCCACATGGGAGGCTGACCCCAGGCCAGGCCAGCTGTCAGTGGCGACAGCTCGGGGTGTGTCTGTGAGGCGGGGCTGCCACCCTCAGCTGGGCCAGAGACACTGCAAGGACAGAAGAGGATGGACAGAAGCAGAATCCTGTGTTACAGATACTGAAGGATGCACCTTCGAGGAGCAGCAGCAGGAAGACAGGGCGCTGGGCCACCTGCGGTGACTGGCACTCTCTGGTGGGGTCCTTTACCAGGCCTGAGCAGCTCAAATGTGGGGGTGGGGAGCGATGACAATGGCACTGGGGTCGTCCCTCAACTTCCCAATAAAGAACATGCCCCTTACAACAGCGAGGCACGAATGAGAGAGCTGGCACGGCGCATGGTTCTGCTCTGGGATGGGTCGGGTGCAGAAGGAGCGCCTTCCCAACCATTCTCTTCAAGGTTCTTCTGATCATCACCCCAAACCCATCTGGGATGGGGGGCCCTGGTGGGAGTTGGGGTTGTGTGGGATTGTGTGGGGATTGGGGTTATGTGGGGATTGATCCTGCGGGGACTGTTACAAGCACAGAGCTAGCCACGGTGGGGAGAAAGGCCTAGGCCCAAGACAGTGCTTCCCGGGGGCCTGAGACAAGCCTCCAGGGAAAGCCTGGCTGTCTGAACTTCAGGACTCCTGCCTGGAAGGAGGAAAGTGGGGAGCAGCTCCCCTCGCCCAGCCCTGCAGGCTTTGTGTGCTGCACAGCCTCCCGGTGAGGTGGGGGTAGGGTAGGCAGAACAGCTGGTGGCCTCTGGTGTGGCTGGAAACCCCCAGGGCACAGCCTGAAGAGTGTTTACGGGGTCAGCAGGAAGGGCCTCCTGCCAGAGGGTCACTGCGCCATTAGCCCCCCAGGGAGGAGGTTGTGGGGCTGGCTCTTCCCAGGAGGTATTCATTCTCTCCTGGCCCTGGGGCAGCCCCGGCAGATGGCGTGAGGGGAGCTAGGGAGGGCCTTCCCCACAGCCCTCCAGCCAGCATCAGCGCTCCTCGTGGACTCAGCCATCTGTCCGTCCCAGACTGGGGCCTCTCACGCTCTGAGCCTCTCTGCTGGCCCTGCCCCCAACCTGCCACCTTGGAAGAGGCCCGGCCTCTGCCCCCACCTGCAGTCCTCCCACCCCTGCCCTCACACAGAGGGGCAGCCCCTAGCTGTGAGCTTTGGGTACCCATCTAGGGTCCCGAAAGGCCTCAAGGGGCTGGGGTTTTTCCCTTAAAGGGCCAACTGATCAAATATTCCCCACTTAACTCACTGCCTACGGTCCCACCAGACGCTTGCAAGCCACCACTTGTTCATTTATAGCGCAAACATTTATTGAGCGCTTATTTTACCCCGAGGGGCTTCCACACCAGCGGGGAAGAAAGACAGCTAGGGGAGGGGGACACAGCACACTGTGCCTCGCCCGGAGGTGGGTAGCCACGCCGAGTCCCCGGCCGAAGCCGCCTTGCGCCCCGCGGGCCGCGCCCAGGCCCGCTCTGCGCGCCAAGCGAGACGCTGAAAAGCAGCCCTGGGCGGAGACGGGTGCGAGAGGAGCAGAGCCGAGTCGGGGGAGGGGAGGGAAGTGGCTCGAAGCCCCCACAGTTCGGGCCTCCTGAGGGGTCAGAACGGAACGCTTTGGGGACGGCGTCTGGCGAGGAGGCTTCCGCGACGCGCGCGGCACTGCGCCAGCCGGGCCCAGGCGAGGTCGGCAGGGAGGAGGCGCCGGCTGGCCATGATCTCGCAGGGGACGCGGCTTGGCGCGCGGGCTCAGGGCGCCCCCGGCTCTCGCCGCCCCCCGCGCCCGGCCCTCTGCCGCCGCCGCCGCCGCGCGCGCCAGCACAGGAAGGCTGCGGCCAGGAGCCCGAGGCCCGCGCCGAGCGCCGCCAGCGCCGAGCCCTGGGCCAGGTCCAGGCGGGGTCCGCGCAGCGAGAAGGTGATGGCCGTGGCGGCGGCGCCCGCCAGCAGAGCCACGGCGCCGAACGGCAGGACGCAGCGCGGCCAGGAGCCCCCCGCGCCGCCGGTGGCCAAGAGCAGGGCGCGGAGAGCCCCTGGGGGCTCGAGGGCCTCGGCCGCGAGCGGGGGATCGGCCGCGCTCATGCCTGCGATGCAGAGGCTGCACTCCGGGTGAATGTGGGCGCTCCCTGCAGCCCCACTCGCCCCGCCACCTCGGAGCGGATTGGCCGGCGAGGCGGTGACGCCAGCAGGGGCCAGGAGGTCTTCGCGGCCGCCTCCAGGCGGGGGTGTGGAATGGGGTGGGCGGGCGCTGACCTGGAGCGGGTCTGCCGGCTCTGGGGGGCCTTGTGTTGGGACCCACTCAGACCGCTGCCCCCCCGCCGTTATCTGCTGGAACCGCCCTGCCCGTGAAGGCTCAGGTGCCCACAGCGGCCAGCAGGGCTGGCCCTGGACAAGTGGGTCACTGAGTCAATAACCATCTGGGCTCCGCTAGAGACGGAGGGGTAGCACCCCCCTGCCAATGGGTAAGGTGCACAGTAAAGAAGTGAAGCAGTGGATGAGATAACTGCGGTGGAGACCACCTCCTATGGAAACGAGTCTGGAGCAGCTGGTACCCTGGTGGTGGTGGAGCTCGCCCTGGAGACAGGATTCCTCCAGATCCCAGCACCTGGAAGCTAGCTCTGGGGGTGGGTGTGCCCCAGGCCCCTCTCTCTTGCTCCCTCTCCTTGAGCTCCACTCCCCGGGGGCCCCTCAGTGCAGTGAGGGCCTCCGATTTTCCCCTTCCTACTTTGGTCTGTCACCTGGTCCCCAGCAGCCCCAAAGGCCTGGGAGTCTATGTCCAAGGTTTCTGGCCTATTGAACAGTGGGGCCCTTTACAAATAGTCTCCTGCAGGGTGGGGCCACCCCAAGGCTGCTTCAGCATCATCCAGTTCATCTCCCACACCTGCAGTGCTTCAGCAGGCTCACAGGAAACCTGGCCTTCTCCAGTTGTCGGCCACCTGAGCAGAAGCAGTGTTACTATTCTCGCCCATCATTGTCCACACAGAGGGCCAGTGCCCAGCCCTGAGGCTTGTGCTTGGTTCACACAGGTGCTCACTAAAGCCTCACGGAAGGGACACCACCGCCTGGCAGCCCTCCTCAGGCCCCAGGGCTGTGAAGCCTGTAACACCATCCTCATCTTCACCCCAGCGGTGATAACCATCATCCAGAATGGCCCTGGGGACAACACGCAGTCTTCAAGAATCATGCTGGTACGTCCACGGCAGTGAACGAGTCCCGATGGAAACCCAGAGGCGGCGATCTTGACCTCTACACTTTCCTGCCTTCCAGGAAACGGTGGTTCCTTCAGCAGGGAAGGGTGATGGGCCCATTCCCCGAAGGGGACTCATTCTGGGGGACTCAGAGCAGCCAGAGCAACAGCACAGGGGGCGGGGGTGGACATGAGTGCCGCCCGCGGGGACACTGGCTCTCTGCTCTTTGGGTAAGCCCAGGATGCAGCCAGGTGCTTGTGGGGAGAGGTTTCAGGTGTGCGAGGGCTAGAGCAAGCAGTGAGGCCCCGGGGCAGCCCACCTCGAGGGGCCCGGCCCCCTCCCTGCAGTATAAAATGGGTATGCCTGTTCTTGGTAAATATACTTGATATGTGCTGTAAGTAAAAAACATGAAGACAAAGGCAAACACGCACCAAGTCCCACCTTGGTATGATTTAAAATTACGTTTCTAAAGCACTTTTGGTGTCACACAGCGGCTTGTGAGTGTACAGCAAGAGAAAGCAGGTAGCTCAGAAAGTCTCCACAGCCGCTCTTCTCCCAAGCTGGTGGAAGGCCAAGCAAAGCCAAACCCTGACCAGCAAGTTCAGCAAATGTGAGGAAGGCTCTAAGTTCCCCAGGAAGAGTCGGGGGCAGTTCCCGCTGGCTGGAAACCTTGCTTCCCAAGGGGGCACAGGCTCCTCTGGCCCCCGCTCACTGCACCAGTGAAAATGCCCTTGATGCCCATTCGTTTAATTACTAGGAAGGGGGGGTCTTGCCAACAGTCGGGCTGGGGGCAGAGCCAGCCTGCCTTGTTGTGGGTTTGGGGGCTGAGGTGGGCCTGGCCTCAGGGAGGGCTCAGTCGGTCAGCAGGCTCATCTCGCAGGACGGTGAGGAAGCGCTGGCCCCCCTCACAGAGCAGGCAGTGCGCAGCCCGGCACAGCGCCAGCCAGGGGCGCCCCAGGGGCTCCTGCTCGCTTAGCAGGGGGAGCAGTTCAGCCATCAGGACCTGGAGGGTGATGAGGGCCAAGGGCTCAGGGGGGCCTGGTGCACTTAAGGGGACCCAATCTAGGGCAGGAGTCGAGGCACCACGCTCCAGTCCCCCCTCCGCCTCCCAAAGCTCCAGCACACTCACACGTGCCCTCGTCCACTCCTTCCCTGGTGGATCTTGGGGGCTGAACCAAGAGGCTCAGCCTGGAGTCCTCCCCATGGCCCACGCCTCCTGAACACACGGTGACCCACGCCCCCGAGTCTGGAAGTACCTTTTCCAGATGGACCTGCTGGTCCAGCATGGCTACCCGCAGCCTGAGGGCCGCCAGGGTCTGCAGCTCCTCGGTGCTGGAGTATAGAAGCAGCTGGGGGCTCCACATTGGGTCTGCGCCTCCTCCACAGGGTGAGGCGGCCCTGGGGGGCCCCTCAGGCCACGGCCCCTGTGGCTGTTCCACCACTGCTGCAAGGACAGGGGACACCACCCCATGAGCAGCAGCCAGGGCCCTCCTTCCCAGGCTCCAGCTAGGGGTGTAAAGTCCCCCCTTGCCTCCTGGGTGAAGCCCTGCTGTCCACAAACAACTCTTTCTTGCAACACCAAGTGTGTGCCAGGATCTCTGATTCTTACAAGAAACTTTCCCACTAAGTGTATAAATGCACAACCTACTTAGACTGGTGGGGTCTGTGTGTGGGCGGGGGGGGCTGGAGCGGGGGTGCTGCACTGGCCAGCTCCACAGCATGGCTACTGAGCACTCAGGATCCCGTGGGGGACATGGGAAGGGCGTGCCTGCCTGCCTCCACTCCCCTGGGGGTGCTGTTCAAGTCCCCACACTGCCCTATTACTGGAGGACTTTGACACCGACCAGGTTTCCCCAGTCGTTCAGAGCTAAAGAACCCTTCTGCAATGCAGGAGACACTGGAGACTTGGTTAAGATCCCTGGGTTGGGAAGACCCCTGGAGGAGGAAGTGCCAACCTACTCCAGTATCCCTGCCTGGAGAATCCCATGGACAGAGGAGCCTGGCAGGCTACAGTCAGTCCATAAGGTCCCAACTTAGCAGGCACCCACGCACACAGTCCAGCTCACGTTGCGGGGCGGGTGGGCAGGCCTCACCTGAGCGCAGCTCCTGCAGCCTGTGCAGACACTGCCCCACCAGGGCCTGCAGCCCTTCCAGGGTGAGCAGGCTGCGGTACTCCTGCGTCCAGTCCTTGGGGTCTACACGAGAGCCGGGGGGGACACAGGCCAGGTCCATGAGGGTCCTGAAGCCCTCCCTGTCCCACTGGAGACCCAACTCGGGGCCCACTAACCTGCCGTGAGTTCCTCCCTCATTCGAAGCCTCAGCAGTGAGCAGGCCTTCTGCAGGCGCCCCACCTCTGCCGAGCTGAGCCTGGAGCCGGGCTGGCCTGCCTGCACACGGGTCAGGGAAACTCCCCCATAGGCGGGCCCCTCCGCTCTCCCCCAGGGCTGGGTCCCAGGGTGGCTTTGGCCCTTCCTGGAGTGGCTCCTCCTCACACTCTGAACCAGGTTCAGAGCCAGCACCTCTGCAAGGATCCCACCCCCACAAGGATACGGCTGTTTGCATTTTCTGGAGGAACTGGGTTTTGGCGGTGGCAGCAGCAGCATCCACAGAATCCCCGGTCTGCATCGAGCTGAGCTGGGCCCACAGTCTGGACGCACACATGGGCAGCCCGCAAACCAGAGAGCAACGTGTGATGATGCCAGCCAGCGGGCCGGGGCCCTGGGAGGTAGGCGAGGCCCAGGGGAGGGGCCCAGGGAACTGAGGGGACACTGCCCATGGAAGGGGGACAGAGCCGACCCACTCGGGGAAATACCAGGAGAGAATTCCAGGGAAAAGGGGAGAGAAGCTGGCACTGACTGGGAACTAGAGCTCTGGGCGCTGGCTCCGTACCCGGCACAGCGGGTACACCTGCGCACCACCTGGCTTAACCCCTATGACACTTCCACAACCTGGGGCCTGAGGCCACCTGGCGCCCTGCTCAAGGTCTCACAGTGGAGAGGCTGAGCTGGGTCGGCGAGAGCAGTCCTAGGGCGGCGGACTCTCCTGATGTGAGAGTGTCACCGCCCAGGAAAGGAAGCAGAGGGGCCTGCGGGCCAAACCTCCGCCTCCCTGCTCTCCCACCCCCCCCACTGCCACTCCCCTGGCTCCCCCTCCCCTCCCGGGGTCCTGCACCCCCACCGTGCCCCCACCAGCCTCACCGGGCATTCCGGGAAGCCGCCTTCCTGAAGGCCTCTGGCAGCCGCAGTAGGGCCCTGTTGGGAAGCTGGTGCTCAGGGCAGCTCTGTCCCACTCTGGGGGCTGCAGGCCCCACTCCCCACTCAGAGCCCAGTGAGGGGTGAGGCTCTCCCGCCCCTCAGACCGGGCTTCCAGAGTGACCACGGGAGCCAGCCCAGTTGGGGTCCGCCTGGCAGAGAGGAGAGCAAAACCCAGGCCGTCTCCAGCGCATCTGGAGCCCCCGGGCTGGGTGGGTAAGTGCATGGGGCACAGAACAGCCAGGGAGGAGAGCGGGACAGGCCCCAGCACATCAAACATGGCACCATCACAGCCAACAGTCCCACCTACCAGCTTCCGGGCTGGGGCCTCATGGGGTGACATTCCGGGGCTTCCCGGGCCCACACCCACTCACTGCTGGGCCCTCCCTGTCATTCCAAACCTAGCCTCCTGCAGCTGCCCAGGATTTGATCAGGCAGAGACAGTAGTTCCTTCAGGGAATGTCTTTTGGGGAACTCACCCCTTATCCTTGAGTGTAAAGGCTTCTGGAACTGGAGGAGCAGCCTGGGGGATAATCTGCTGGTCCCTGAGGCCTGCTTCAGGCTTGTTGGCTCCGGCCCCCTTCCCCATATGGGCTCCATCTCCCACCAACAGAAGCCTGCGCCCAGGGAGATCCTTTGCGGGCACCCACGGGTGGCGGATGCCTCTGGGGGGTTTTGTCCCTGGTGCACAGCTGCCAGCGCAGTGTGAGGTGCTGGGTGGGGCAGAGGCTCTGGTGGCAGGGGAAGTGGACCCAGACTTTAAGCTGTGGGCCTTGACTCCTTCTCCAGCCTTTGAGAGGCCTTTTCGCACTCGTACTGCCTTCTCCAGTGCCTGGGTCAGAAGCTCCAGCTCCTTGAGGTCCTGAGGGCTGGGTGGGCATGCTGTGAAAGCCGAGAGTTAGGTAGAGGCCCCTGATCACTGCCAGCCAGAAGACAGGCCAGGGACGACACCTGCAGAAGGTGGGGGACTAAGGTTTACCTGAAGACGGGGCCTCTTCATTAATTTCTGGCCCTGGGGTTGGCTCCGGAGCCGGGGTCTCGGCTGGTTCCCTGCAAGGACACAGGGCAGCCGTGGCACGGCCAGGGCCCAACAGACCCCCATAATCGCCTGGCCTAGGAGCGGGCGCCCCGTTCTCAGGGCCTCGGGAAAGCGGGGGGCACTGGCAGCCCGCAACTCGGAAGTGAGCGCTGAGCCCGGCCTCCCGGCCCGGGGCTTCAAGCAGGGTTCTGACGGCCCGAGGGCTGCCTAGCCGGGTGGTCCCGGGGTCGCGTACCAGGCCCGCAGCAGCCGCCGGGAGACTCGCAGGCTCTGCTCCAGCTGCCGTTGTAGCTCGGCGCAGGAGTCCAGGGCGTCCCGCAGCTCGGCCACCAGCCTGGGAGGGAAGCACCGGAGGCTCAGCGCCCGGCCGGGCCCCCGCCCCCGCCCCCGCCCCCCCAGCAGCGCCGGACCCACCGGCGCGAGCACTCCGCAGGCAGCATACGAACGATATGGATCTTCGCGATCTGCCGCCGTCGGAAGATCCCGCCCCTTCCGGACTAGAAGACCGCCCCTTCCGGCCGGGCTGCCCAATCCCGAGCCCAGCGTCAGGGCCCGCCTTCCCCGATGAAGACCCCGCCTCTAGCCTCGGCCCTTGGCCGGCGGTCCGAGCAGTGACTGGCTCCGACCCCCGCCCGGGGGCAGCAGAGCGAGCTGGGGGACTTCGAAGACGCGCAGTTCTGCTTTGGATAACGGGGTAGGTGGAGGAGGCTCCTGTGGTCCCTTAACGGTCGGCTTTGCATCGAGGGGTCTCTAAAGCAGGACCCTGAGACCTTGCTGACCCTGGGGCACCTAGCGCAGGGCCGGGAACGCGGACAGGCCCATAGGTATTTACTGCTGTGGCTGGAGGTGAGAATAACGTGTGTGTCGGGAGCAGGAAGGCAGGAGGGAGTGTGCGCTTGTGGACACGCTGACGAGGTGATGACATCCGGGAGTGGGCACCTCAGCAGAGGGGGAGGAGGCCCAGGAGCCAGAGATGGGCACGAGGACGAGTGGGGCTGGCAGGCTGGTCCCTGGTAGGGCAGGCGTGCCCGGATGGGGCCAGGTGAGGGGGAGCTGGAGCCGAGTGGTGGAGGGACAGCAGAGCCTGGTATCACAGGAGCCTGTCCCAGGAGGGAGTGTCCGCGGGAGACACTTGGGAGTGGGAGTGGTGGGGACAGATGCTGGCTGAGAGGAGTGATGCTGGCAGCAGGGCCCATTGTAATTGGATCTAACAAGAAAAAAGGATGAGTGCCAACCCCACAGGGGCCAAGAAATCTCAGAGGAGAGCAGGATGGAGGATAGACCTGGGAAGGGGTCTGTTTAAAGATAGAGGAGTGTCCGATTCACTGTTGCTAATAGGAAGGTGCCACAGCAGAGAACAGATGCAAAGGAGGGGAGCTGAGAGTGCTGGGGTAAAAGGGGGAAGGGTCGAGTGGGACCCAGGCAGCCCTGGGACTGCCGTTAGGGTGGGCACCTACATCAGCAGCGGCCTCTTTTCTTGCACAGTATGGGGAGCCTGAAATGAGATTCTCAGTGAGAAAGGAGGGGAGGGGAGCAGACACAGGGAGACCCCACCCCCCAGTCAGACGGTATTAGGTCCCTACCCAGAGCACTCTCCTTCTGCGGATGCAGGCTGGCCAGGAGAAGGCAGAGAACTTTTGGGTTTTGATAAGGGGCCAAGGGGATAAGGCAGTTCAGACATGCACATCACTCAGCCACTACTATCCTCATCACATTTAATCCTCACAACACCCCTGTGAGGTAGGTATTGTCACCCCATCATACAGATGAGGAAACTGAGGCTCACACATGCCTAGGGGCACACAGTCGACAAGGGAGGTCTGCAGTCCCAATGCTGGGATTCCCTTACTCAACCACGGCCTACCCAGGGTGGTCAGAATTCGCCTACAGCAGCAAAAAAGATAGCTCCCACAGGGAGTCAAGAGCCCAGAAAAGCCTCTCTGGGCGAGCATCTCCTGGTCCCTGTAGTTTTGGTTCAAGAGCATTTGGGGGACACTCCTGGTTAAGTGGTTCTTTCTGACATTTCAAGGGGAAGCAAAAGCGACAGCAGGTGAGTGTGTTGGGGTCAGCCCAGCAGGGGAGAGCAGTCAGGATCATGATTTGCAGGAAGTCACAGCAGGTTCACTCTCACCCAGCAAGCCAGTCCTCTGGTTCATGCTTTTCCGTGTCTTGGTCACCTCAGATGTTACAAATGACATTTAAGTTTTTCCTGGATAACTTCTCTGGGAAAACTGATTTTGCATAGTGTCAGGAGAGCACTGAGGAGTTTGAATCAAATTTTCATTTTTCAGTTGAGCCTAAATAATGTTGAGAATTTTAAAAAATGTAATACCTTCTATTTTTAATTTTTCTTCTGTTTTTTATCCTAGAAGGATGAAGGATGGAAATAAAGACAGGGAAAGAAATGGTCAAGCAATTCAGTGCAGAGAGAGGGTCATGCAGTCACCATCTGTTGGGGACACAGATGGACCACTGCAGGAGAAGGGACAGATTTTTGAAAGGAGCTGAGAACATGGGAGGGAGCAAGCCTGTGACCGAGAATCAAGGCCCTCGAGCCTGGTGTTCATGCACAGCCCACCACGGTGCCCGGGGCAGAGCTCTCTCACTGCAGGAGGCACCAGCCCGTGAGGAAAGGAATGTGTGCCCAGGGCAGGGCAGTGTGGGCTCAGGGATGGTGACATGCTCAGGGTTGTTGGCTCTCCCGGGACCCCAGACCAAACAGACGGGGGCATGGGGACCTGTGTCTGGACACTTGGCCTACACGTTCTCAGCTGTGAAAGCTCAGTTCCTGGGGTGCTGGGGGTTGGGGAATGTTCACCCAGGACGTGGGCTGAGTTTCCCAGAGGAAGCAAGACAAGACACGGGAGGGGACAGAAACACAGGACTGACATGGCATGGTGTGACTGCTTCGAGGCTAAACTTCCCAAAGAGGAGGATCTGAGTTTTTGTTGTGCTTTGGAGATTCTGACGGCTCATGATGGGCTCCCCTGTAGAAAGAGTCCCTGCCCCCAGATCTCCTCTTGGGTCCCTGTGGGAGGCCAGCGGGGATCCGCAGGGATCCATCTCGTCCCCTGCCCCACACCAGCACAGCAGCAGCGCCCCCTCAGCGGACATCCACTGCGGCACACGCTCCGACACACTCACAGCTTCAAGAAGCCCAAGTTCATGTCCTCCTCCTCCTCGCTGGGGGCCGACAGGTTTTTCCTCTTCACCTGCTGTTGGGGAACACAGCTCTCTGGGGGGCTGGGGGGGCGACACTGTAAACATGACTTCCGGGTGTGGTGGTGGCAGGGCTGTGTGTTCAAGCTGCTGCCTGTGGGCAGCTCTGAGGTAGACTGGGGGGGCCCCCCTGAGGCCTGCCCGGAGTCTGTGGGACTCGCGCTGCTGACGGAGGAGTACCCCGATGTCGTGACGTCCTTGCCCAGTCCCCGCCTGCCGCACAGGGGGAGCTCCGGCCCTGGGGTCCGCAGTGCCTGGCAGCCTGGCGCCAGCGCCTGTGTGTCCTGGGCCCCCCATGCCTCCTCCGGGCAGGCCTCCTCGTCGCTGGACTCCTGACAGCAGTGCTCCTCCGGGCTCAGGTAGACCACGGTGACATCGAGGACGCCGCTGGGAGCCGTCACTGTGGGGGACGGGGGACGTCGGGGTGAGCCTCCGCCCGGCCAGGACCCAGGGGAGCCCGGGGTCCCGTCTCAGCCACAGCTCCTCACCCTTGCTGGTCAGTCCCCTTCCCTTTGCTTAAGAAGTCAAGGGCGAGGTGTGTCCTCCAAGCTCGGGGTGACACCCATGTGACATGGGGAACAGGAAGAAGGGACAAGAAACTGAGGGCCATCTAATACTTAATCCTGAGTGGACACAGAAGCACGCAACTAGAAAATCCATAGACATGGCCTCAAACCAGGCCCTCGAGTTCCCTTCCCCCTGTCTGCAGATGGCTGACCAGACATGGGGACAGAGCCTTCTGCGGCCTGGCCTGGAGGGACGCCCGAGGCACAGGACCCAGCAGGGGAGTGGGGGGCACATGGCACAGGATGTTCTAGAAAGATCTTGTCATGAACGCAGGTGGGTCTATTCTGCCCCTGCCCTGTGCAGTCCTCCTGGCAGTACATGTCCAGCTGGGCCACAGCCTGTCCTCCCTGTGGGCCGCAGTGCCGGGTGCTCTGCTCTCCCGGGCTCCTTGGACACGAGCTCCCGCAGCCCTGGCCAGGCCCGCCCGCTGCCCACCACCCGCCACCCACTGCCCGCCACTCACCGTCGCCCTCCTTCTCGCCCTCGCTCTCCTGGTCACCCTCGTAGCCCGAGCAGTAGTCCAGGCTCCAGTCCAGGAAGCTGCCCAGCAGCGTCTCCTCCTGGCTGGACAGCTCGGCGGTGGGCGTGGTGACGAAGCTGCCCCTGTCCTCCTGGAGGCTGTTCTCCCGCTTCCTGGGGAAGGGAGTTGGGAATGCAGTCACAGGCGGAAGCGTCAGGGGGCCCAGCCTGGTCCCTGGCACGCGCCTGCCCCGTCCCGCCCCGTGTGCTGTGAGCACCCAGGAAGTGCCCTTGGAGGCTCGCAGCTGATTCACAGAGGTTGGGCCGGCAGCACAGTGAGGTCCCTGCTCATCTGGACTTTGTAGGATGAATAGGAGTTCTTTGGGGGGGGGGGGCGGCGGAGGGGAGCTTATTCCAGGCACCACAGCCAGGACACTGAGATAGAAGAGACAGGGTGATGGGGTGGTGGGGACCGAGCGCCCCAGCCTCTCCTCGGGGCGCGGCTAGAGCGCTGGGGCGACACATGGTGGGGCAGCATGGCCCCCGGGGGGCTCCACCTGTGCTCAGGACCACCAAGCCCACAGGGAGCTGGGCTGGAGCCACGCAGGGGAGGAGGCAGGGCTGCAGGCGATGCAGACCACCGGTCCAGCTTCCGTTTCCAGGGGATCCCCAAGGGCTGCAGGGGTCACACAGGAGCCCAGCTGGGCCCGCGGGCTCACTTACCGCTTGGTCCTCCTCCCGGAGGGTGAGCTGAGGAAGGCGTGAATATCACCTGCGCTGAGGAAGGGCGCAGGTTCTGGGCTCTCCTGCTTCACGCCCAGGGCAGCACATAGCTGGCCGTAGCTCAGCACCTGCAGGGGAGCCACGGTCAGAGGGTGGCAAGGCCCCGGGCGGGCAGGCCCGCCACCGGCAACCCTCGGTACCTCTTCCAGGCTGATCTCCTCATAGCGCTTGTCCTCGAATCGCTGCTTGACGGCAGTGAGAGACACCTGCCTATAGTCCTTGGGGGCATCATCGTGGAAGCTACCGACAGACAGATGGACACGTGAGGGACCGAGGGGGGCGGGGAGTGCTGGCACCGCCCCCAGGAGGCTCCACCTGCAGCCCCTGCTCAGACGGGAGAGGGCCTGACGTCCTCGAAGCGGGCCCAGCACCACCGTGCAGATGCCCGGCAGTCCCTCAGTTAACCCGAGAGGCACCTATGACCCAGCGCCCACTCCCAGGTGTGTCCCCGAGAGAAAGGGGGGCAGAGGTCCCCGCAGAGACCTGGACATAGTCGTCCACAGCAGTGGGGAGACAGAAAACCCCCAAACGTCCATCAGTGCAGAGATGGAGAAGTAAGACGGGGCCTCTCCGCCTGGGGGCTCCCTGCACAGTGGAGACACCATGCAGGTGGGAGGCCGCTCACACCTACAGGCCTCGTGGTGCGTGAGCCCGTGATGAAGCGTCCAGAACAGGAAGGAGAGGAGTGTTGTGGGGTAGGGGCTGGTGGGGAGGGAACACCTGAAGGTATTAGGGAGGCAGGGCAGGTTTCTTTGAGGGAGAAGATGTTCTCTGATTGATGGTGGTGATGCCTGCACAACTCTATACCAAAAGCCTGTCGAACTGCACACTTAAAAAAAGTTTCATTTGTAAATAAATATTTCCAGTTTATCTGGATTGAAAAAACAAAAAAACTAGGGGAAGGTAGCAGGGAGGCAGAATCACCTTGCCCCTTGGGTGGGGGAAGGGGACGCTGAGGCCGCGTGGCCTGAGAAAGGAGGGGGCCCTGGGGGCTTCAGAGCACGCAGTGCAGGTGGGACCGAGTGGAAGCAGTGCGGCTGCCAGCTGGCCTGAGATGAGAGGGGCAGGGCCGAGCGCCTGAGGCAGGCGTGGCCGGCCTGTGCCCGGGCTGCAGTCTGCCCATGCCAGCCTCCTGCAGTGAGTCACCACCGCCTTTTCTTATGCTGTACTGTCTGTGGAGTTAGGTTTGGGTGGGGAGGAGCTGCTGCCCACACAGCAAATGTTAAAACCATGTGCGCTAAGCAACATGGCCCCGGGACTTCCAAATGCCAACCCTGAGACTAGGAACTCATGGCCTGACAGCCCGCCTATGACGTGAACCCCCTCTGGACCCACGGCGTGGAGGATGTACCCTGTGTGTGGGGCTCGCTTCCTTACACACTTACCACTTCTGATGAAGACTTAAGACACAGGGGATGAGGTCTTCACAGGAGAAGCCGGTGAGGTCCCACAACTGGGTGGTCCAGGGCTGCGCTGGGGATGGAAGTGGGGGTCGTGGGGTCGCCTTGACGCCCACAGCCCCAGTGGTTCTGGGATGGAGATTCCTAGGGCTCAGCGCTGAAAAGGCCCTGTACCCAGGGCACGCATGCCCGCTGCGCCCTGCGGGGGGAATACCAAGCCACCCCCAGACAAGGGCTCTCAGTCTATCCTGCTGCCTCCTCCTCAGGAGAGAGGAGCATGCTGCTTTGTCTCCCTCCCTCCCCCGGACCCAAGCACCAGCTCCTGACTCCCGGAGACCCTCGCCTGCGGGCTCAGCCTGGCTCTGGGAGGGAAGGACCGGCCGCTTACTCTGCCTGTGTGTCAGCCTCGCCAGCAGCAGGGCGGCCGCAGCCAGGTGAGCCGGGGCGTAGGCAGCCAGGCTGGTATGCAGCAGGGAGAGCTCGCAGAGGAAGCCACACAAGTGCTGGGTTCTTGGTGCCATGGGGACCAGCGTCAGCAGGACATCCTTGTAATCGACCACGGTGGGGACCTGGCGGGACAGGGCAGTGGGCGTGGGGTCGCGGCATGCAGAGGGCCCTTCTGCCCGCTCGGGGGAGGCTGGACTGCAGACACGCTGCCCTCCTAGTGGCCAGCACACTCGCTGGGCATGCCGAGTGGCTGTGGCCTGTGCCCTCTGGGTCCTGGAGGG